GCGTGTATTCCATTTGCTATGCCGTTTACGTGCTTTGTTATGTTGTGATCATTATTGCGTGCCATGACTTTGCTTTCTCTGTGCGTTAGACAACTCTTTCCAATATTCTTGTTTCTTTACAATGCAATCAGTTTGTATCTTGTTCTTGCATTGTTATTATGATATTATATAGCCATTATATAGCCATTTATTCTTTATTATGATATTATATAGCCATATTATATAGCCATTTATTCTTTTCTTGTAGCTTAAGAGGTTTTACCCCAGAGAATAAATAAACTATCTATCTATCTATCTCTTTTTTTTCTCTATTTATATTTCTCTGTTCGACTTGTCAAGTCTTCTCTTACTTCCCTCGAACAATGCTTATCGTTGTATTCCTTGCGTCCTTGAGTTTCTTCGTATGTCAAGTAACAATTTATGCAATAAATGTTCCTTCTTTTCTCGCCGTTTGTCGCCTCGATGTCGCTATAGAAAACACCGAAGCCGCCCTTCGTGGCGCCCAGCGGCGGTGCGTTTCACGCTCACAGCGACAAACGTCCGTCGTGCCACTTGGTGCAATTATCCAGGGCGGTTCTTACCTGCCTGCCCTGTCTGCCCTGTCTACCTGCCCGCCTGCCTGCTGCGCGTACGTGTGCGTGCACGTGCTACGCGCTGTACACACGCTGCGATGCCTCCGAGCAGGTACAACAAGCTAGAGCAGGTCACTTTCGCTGCCGCCTCTTACACACTGTTCCAGTCGTCGCGCACGCGTGCTGCTCCATTCATAAACCTATAGAAACGTGTGCACGGCATCGGCGCGACACGTGTGTAGGTGTAGGAAACGCGAGCGTGTGTCTGGGGCGATCTGTGCTACCGTGTGTCCTGTCCGTCCCGTTAGATCTTCACGCGCACGCCGGCTTCAGATTCGACACGGTGCTTCGTTTTCACGTGACGTCGTTTGGTGTTATCGACCATACACCGACGCTCTTCGATACATTCCTGCGGATTAAGAATATTACGTGTAAAGGAGAATTCACATCTTGGCAGAAAAGCAGAAAGGCAATCAAGATTCGCGCTGGTGGTCGCAAGTGCTAGTCGACAGTTTCTATTTTTCTACCAGTTTTGATTGGCTTCCGCCTCTCTGCTTAGTACTTTTCTGTTAAAGTATGAATCCTCTCTAATGCTCGCGACAAGAGAACGAGGAACATGATGATGAGCTCTTTATAATGGTAAGGTAATGCAAGTTAATGCAAATAATTATAATTACTAAAAGATGCAGAAGAAACACGATTAAATCGAGATAGGAAATTACATTTCGAGGTCTTCCAGATTTCTAGATCGTTTACGTAATCAGACGATTTGTATCGAATGATACTTGTGCGAAAGGGATATATAATGGACATGCCGAAACGAGATAGACGTTTCTACTTAAGTCAGGCAAGCGAATGTTATTCGTTAAGGTTTCGTAATCTTTCAATTAAGAGGCAAGCGCCACACCGATCTCCAAGTGGAAATCTCGCGTGTTCGCGTTATAGAGGGTGATCCACGATTGGTTCGGTAAACAGACGTTCATTTCGTACAGAAAACGCCGTACGATTATTTTTTGCTATTGTAAAAATGTAATATACTTTGTAGCAACACGCATAGTTCCTTTGGAATGCGGTAACTAGCGATGATGAAATTTTTTACTCTGATTTCGAGACATTTTATCACGAATAGCTTTGCATTTAAGAAAGCGAACGTAATTGTAATTTTACATTGATTTAATTACCTTTACTAATTTAATAGAATTGTACTTATGCTTAATGTTTTATATTAATTTAAGCTTTACATTTATTTGAATAACTTGCGGAACTTTGTCGTAAATTTTAATCTGACACGCTCAAATACAGCGTCTTATATATTGATTAATAAATGAAACGCTACTTGCTCGCATAACATTTTACTCTCCATGAGGCTTCTTCGGAGTCCTTGAAGGTTTCTCATTCCAGCGTGAATCACCCTGTATAGAGGGACAGCGTGTAGCTTGCGCTCCGAACGATCGCATCGGATTGCCGATGATTTAGGATCGCGATCGATAAGGCGATCGCCGTAGACGCCTCTGGCGAGCTTTATTGGTACGTCGTCGTCGAGGAGTCCGTCCTGCGATGAAACGGGCCTGACAGCGATAGATCGATCGAACCGTAGATCAATAGCCACGCTGCTCCGAAGCCGACGTCCGTCCGGCCGAGCTACGTGCAAACGCGCGGCGTGCCGACCAATAAGATGAAAAACCGTAAATACACCGAACATTTGCGCGTGCTGTTTCCTATTAATGTCGATCACTTGTCCGGGAATATGAGGGTAAAAGACCATTCTCCCGATTCGAATCGATCGGATCTTTTATTGAGTTCTCCGCGGAGTGACAACTTGCGTAATTTCAAATGCCTGCTCATCCAGTCTGCATATCGATGCACTTTTGTTTGATTATATTTTGATAAATTCTAGCGAAACCGTGATCTTAATGAAAACTGTGAGATTCACAGTGAGATAAAAGGAAAAAAAATTGTCAAGATTTGTTTCTCTCTCTTCTCCGGAAGTTGTGGAACGCACGCGTATCTTCTATTTTTGATTTGCTAAAAAGAAAAATATTTTATCGAGAAAGTGATTTCTTGATACACAGTGTTATAACGGGTAAAATAATTGTTGATAACATTGTTACGTTTGTAGTTCGTTGACGTTGCACGGACGTGTAGTTTGAGGTCGAGCGTGGTTATAGAACTCTTTCACTCGACAATTATGCTAGAGTTCACACATAGTAAAGTTTATGTCTACCGTGAAGTTTTTTAAAACTTTGTGACGTGACTTACTGTGGTACGAAGTATCGTTTGTTGGTCGCAATCATGGATGGACGTTGTCGATACGCGGCGAGCGTGCCGTGAAAGTGCGCTACCGAAAGTACGAATAGCAACACGCATTTTACTTGCCTCGTCAGCAAACACGTTCGCACTTCATTGCACTTCATTCTACACCGGATCTAGAATCCGTTATTGCTGGCGTACGATCGGTTAACTTTCGTAAATTGTTCCGCGTGCTATTTAAGACGTTTTCTGTCCGGAGGAGATTTTCAATGTGAAATCATGTAATCAGAAATTAATTCTTTCGATACATTTGAAAGCATATAGATATTGTAATAATAAATTTCAAACACCTCATAAGCTCATTTTTAGAGATTTTCTCCGAAGAACGAAAGCCTCTTACATTATTCAAGATTGTCATCCTGTCACAAGCTCGCTTCTCTAGTCTCCCAACAGATAGAGAGAGAGAGAGAGAGAGGGGGGGGGGAGAGAAGCATTGTGTTTAACTAAACTGCCATAATCATTCGGCATTTGACCGATCGATCGTTCTGTTCAGGAGATGATCGGAGAATCGCGAAGGGCACGGTAGTTGGAAATGGTGTGAGTAGCTTCGAGCTAGGCTGAACTCTATTTCCTCGACTATTAGCGCTAATCGATTATAGCGTGACGGATCGAATGATTTAAATAAAGACCGGGTGCGTCACGGGCCTGGCCTGGCACACTCGACCGCGCCCCGCAAAATGATGCCGTTGCATTTGCCCACTCTATTATCCGATTCGCTACGTTTTTCCTGGTGACCCGATCGATCGGCCATGCTAGATCCTCGGAACAAAATAACGGAGGTCGACACTTCCGCTTTAGAAACCTTCTCGTCCATCCTCTCTTGACTCCATCGTCTCGAGACAAGCAGAAGTACGGCTTACAAATGTGGAAACATTCGTTTGAAATCTTGTAAAAAGAGTAAATTGCATTTCACGGTACACACTATTTGTACACACTGAAAAAAAAAATTTAGAATAAAGTCTAATAATTTTTAAAATTGTGAAAACTGTTGTTTCAAAACTATGTTTAGTTATATTGGTTCAATAGTTATTACTTATATTGGTATCAACAGTTTATTTTAATATTCGATCAATAAATTCACAAAAGTGACTGAAAGTTACTCTAAATGACCCATGATTTACAGTTTCCTTACTTAAATATAAATTCTTTTATTCAAATAAAACAAACGATTAATTACAATTAATTTTATGAAAAGCCAAGTTTTTAGAAAATCCAAATTTTCTTATTCGAGAAATATTTCTTTTATATGTATTATAGTATAACTATATAATTATTATAACATAATATAACACTAAATAATTATTATATTAATATAACTAAATATGTTGTCTTAGTATATATTCACTGAATAAATAGTTCTTCTCTCAGTATTCATTTCGCATCTCTCGTTACGTTATCATTTACATACGGAAATGTTCCATAATTTATTTTTTAAGTGTGATATCAACGGTCTCTTTCTCTGATAAAAATATAACCCGCATTATTATGTCCATATCTCTACATTTCACTTCTCCGTACATTATTACGATGTGCGATGTGTACGAATATGTAGGAAAGATACAATAGATGCGTGATCTAAACACATGTGTGTATTCATTGCTATCAGTATGATAGAGAAATTTCGTCAACAGAGCTCTCGGTGATATTGTTTTTCTTACGGCGCTCCCCCCCTCTCTTACTCAGCGCCGCTGGCGGTTGAGCGTCGGGAATCCGGCAAGACATGTGTACGCGGCATTGTTATTCTCGCGCTCGACCGCGACGGACGCTCGAGGGGCAGGTGTGCCGTAGAGAGACGGTAATTTTCGATTAGCTCGTACAATCACGTAAGAAATATGAAGAAATAGAGGATTCCTTCGATTTGTTCGGTCTCGCGTTCGTATTCTCATCTACGTGAGAGCTACGTCAGGCGCTCACAATTGAAACGTAACGACGACGTTTGCGAAATCCGACGCCGATTCGGGACGAGTAACCTCTATTTCGGGTTGCGCGGCAGTCGGCCTAATTTTGCCGGCGCGGCGCAAAGGCGACCGGAATTATGATTTCCGCGCGTTAGTTACGTTTTCCAGCTTCGTAGACGTCGCTTTTCTAATGGAGACGACGCGCATTTGTATGTTACAGGTGACACCGGAGCCGAACGGGCCAGTATTCATGCCAGTATGCCAATCGAATGCCGGTAGACGACCAGTATCCGCCGTCGCCGATAGCCAATTAATAAGTTAGTTAGATCAATTAGTAGTCAGTAGTACCGCATTCTCGCTGAGGAAGAGATCCATTTCATCGGTGTTTACGTCGCGACTACAGTGACTGCGAAAACGCGCGGAATTCGAGCGTGCTTTTTTTGTGTTTTTCGTCGCCGATTCTCGCGAAGCAATAAGAAGCCGCGATCGCGATTGAAAACGGTCCGTCGCGCTTCTCTCGACGACAATAATTTCGCCGGCTCGTCCTCCTCCGGCGTCGCCGAATTCGGGAACGGTAACCGGTGAATCGTAGTGAAGTGATAGTGACTGTTCCCCGACGAAGAGAAGGAGGAGCAAGAGGAGTAACAGCGAAGCGGGAGCAGACACCATCCCGGCGGTGATCACGGTGGCTGAAAACGCTGACTTACATCGGGAACGCCAACCTGCAATCAAGGTTCATGGTTTTCATGGTGAGTCACGATATCTATTTCTATCGTCCCGCGTACCGCTCTCTTTTCGTTGCATGCTTCTTCTCTCTACTCTTCCCTTGCGTCGTGCGGCCGCTTCTTTCCATTTCGAATACTGAATCGGTCCGAGTGCCGTCTCTCCGGTCAATGCCGCGTGGAGAATAAATTGGCCATGGTCGCACGGCCTTCTACCCTCGCGTTCGCGCTAACACGGAGGGACAATTTCGTGAACGAGCTGTCGCACTTTCTATCAGCCGCAGATTCTTCGAGCTTTTGTGCTGGCCGATTTTGTAAGTTGCGATATTCGTTACTTCGCTGTTATTAGGCCTCTGACTGAACTTCTTTTCTAAAGAAGTTTTTAGTTTTAGCTTTTTCACGTTAACCCGAAAATAACTAACGTCTGTTTACTTTCGCGGTTTGTCTCGAGGATAATAATTTCCGGCATCCTCCCTACGACGCGTTAGAGAACGATAAACAGTGAATCACGATAAAAGAATTTTTTACTTTTATATTTTTAATATTTAATTTATGAATATTTTCTTGAAAATAAATAAATAAATAATAAATAAATATATAAAAAAGAGCATTTTTGTTTGGAAAATATCTTTATTTTTGATATACTAATTTTCAAATGGGATTACACAGCGTTAAATAAAGATAAGTTACTGGTATCAGTACAGTTTATATTTAATTCAACAAATAATTGTTTAAATTCAAGACAATAAATTTCTTTTAACA